TTGATTAAATGTGATCTCTAATCTAAGACTAATCTAAGATTACTAAACTTCAGTTTAATCATTACTAATATATAATGGTTAAAAGTAATGCAGAAAAAAAACTCCTTCCAACTAATTATGATTTCTTCTCAACACTTTTTTCTACTACTTTATATTCTCTTATTTTAAAGAGCAATTCCAAACTGCCGGAAGCAACAGTTGAGAAAATAAAACTATACTATTTCATATTTCCACACTTTTTTTAAACAATTAAAGACTGAAAAGCAAAGAAAAAAGTAATCAATAGTAGTGGTGGCAAGACCATCACAAAAATCGTTAAAAAAATTAAAATCATAAGCAATGCGGTATGAGGAAAAGTGCGCTTTTAAAACAAAACAAAAAAAAAGTGATGTAAAAGTTTTGACAAAATTGAATTTTCACAAATTTTTGCCGCGTTGGCGTTAAATTGAGAAAAGTAAAATTTTTCACATTGCAACAGTAACGCAGCAGCAGCAGCAACTCACTACTATTTTATGCAACACAGCAACCATCACCCGTGCATCTTTTCCATCAACTCCCCTCTCTCTCTCTCGACTCAATCTCAACTAACACTCCGCTTACAAAAAACCCACCAAAGTGTAATGGAAAAAGTAGTTAAAGAAGTAATTTAATTTAATGCTACTACAATTTTCATTCGTTTTAATCGATGCGCCTTGCTGGGCAAACTTTCCTACACAAACTCTCATAAAAACGCCCATCGCCGTACCGCCTGGTACTGCAGCTCAATTAAAAGTTGCGGCAACTTCAAGCGCCAAAAACACTTGCGGCACAAATAATAATTTATTTAAATTGAATCATTTGATGCGATTTCTTTACTAATGGCTCCTACGTTTTCTTCCTTCATCTTTCTACATCCTCTCACATCCCATCGCTATGAGAAAGAATGGAATGTAGTTGTTGTAGTTGCTTGGAGCTAAAGATTAAGGTGTTGAATAAAGGCGTCTAATTAATTTGGTTTATTGTATACAAATTACTGACCCTTAAGGTGAAAGCCGTTTAAGTCCTTTAAACAGGATTAAGAGTTTACATATTCTATATAAAGTGGTATGTAAATATTTATTTTACTAAAAAGGTTCCACAAATAAATTTGCGTAAGATATTAATAAATGTTGTTAGTATGTAAGCTTCTAAATAAAACGTATTACCAGATAATAAGTTTCTAAATCAAATTTCACATATATATTTTAATAACGAATTTTAATTTCATTTGTCAAGACATGAATTATTTTAAAAATATCTTTACATGAAAAAAATGTAAATTAGACGTTATACTTCAATTAAATGATAAAAGACGTATAAGAGAATATATCATTGCTTAACTGATTACCATTATTTAATAATTTGAATAATTTTAAATAAAACATTTATTTATTCACAAAAAAAATATATAGTTCTTTATAACATCTAAGCTAGAACACTAAAGCTAAACACTAACACTAACAGACTATGCAATCGATTAATTGGTCAAAAGTAGGTGCCATTACTATCTACAACTTTACTCTAGAACTATCAATTACTCTGGAACTTAACTTTCTCTTAGTTACAGTCAAATAGACGTCAACAAAAGAATACTTTAATAATATGGCACCGTTTTTCAGGGAATAGAAATATAAGTATGAGTAATACCAAAAACTTTACAAAATATATCTTCTATTATGTTAGGGTATATTTTACTAAGATCTATTGAACACCTCAATACACATAGGGCATTTTAGCAGTTTTAATTTTCTCAATAAACTCACTAATATTGCAGTATCAATCCTGGACGATACTTTACGGGAGGTTATTACAAATGTTTAGTCATCCAGCTACTTCTTTCGTTTTTGTACCAATGCTTTATATGTCCTCAGCACTAGAATATTTTTCCTCTTTTCTATAAAATTCCATTAGAGTGAATTTTCCAATTTTGTTATATGCCAAATGTAAACTTATGTAATATGTTTTATTTTTATGGTGTCTAATTTCATAAAATCTTTCTAGTTTTAAATAGATTTGGGTTGCCAGTTCTTATCAACAGTGTTAATCGTAGTATCCCTAATATCTATCTTTGCTCTCTATCTTCATTCTAATCTAATCGTATCTTCTCTTCTCTCTATCTTTGCTCTCTATCTTCATTCTAATCTAATCGTATCTTCTCTTCTCTTCTCTCTATCTTTGCTCTCTATCTTCATTCTAATCTAATCGTATCTTCTCTTCTCTTCTCTCTATCTTTGCTCTCTATCTTCATTCTAATCTAATCGTATCTTCTCTTCTCTTCTCTCTATCTTTGCTCTCTATCTTCATTCTAATCTAATCGTATCTTCTCTTCTCTTCTCACTATCTTTGCTCTCTATCTTCATTCTAATCTAATCGTATCTTCTCTTCTCTTCTCTCTATCTTTGCTCTCTATCTTCATTCTAATCTAATCGTATCTTCTCTTCTTCTTTCTGAATATATAAAAAGTGTCTGGCGTAGAACATTTCATATGTCGCCCTTAACTACGTCTATGTACCAAGATGATATTATATATACAACCATTAACTTTTTATCAATTGTTGACCTTTCGTTCCTTACTCTAATATTTAAAAATATTATCAAAACATTTTCCAATCGAAATAAATCATTAACAATTTCCAAAAAGGGAACTTTTTCCCCAACAAAAGCCCAACATGACTTCACAAAACTATTAGTGAAACTACTACATGAGGAACATAAAAAAGGACATCTGTTAAGCAAGCAAGGAACAATGTGTAACATTGATTTATCGCAAATCGTTTAAGTAATTTTGAATAAATCATTATAACACTCAAAGTACAAGGCAAGGCAAAAAATTAACACATTCCAACGAGGCGGGGCGTACACGTTCTATGACATAAGCAAATACGAGAACAACAAGCAAGGTTACCCACCAACTACAAGGCTACTGATACTTGCGACGATAGCAGGATAGTACTCGACCGAGTATATGGCTATATGGAGGGATGTATGGAGTATAATAAAATTTTTAAGTAACTTAAATTATAACACAAAAGGTAAACATATTAGATACGAAACTTTGTTATGAGCTAAACTGCAGCCAAAAAATATTTATGGAAGCGTATGTAAAGATAGGCGAGTGTTACCTTTTTAGTCAAAAGTATTTAAGGATTCACGTGTCATATGATATATGAAGCCTCTTTAACATTTCCTTCCACAATGTGGGTTGGAGTTGTTTCGCTCGTACTGCCGTTTCGCTTTCACAGCAAATAACTTATCTTTCCCGGCAAGTTACCTGCCTCGAAACATTTTTTGAAAATTTTTGCTTTAAATGTAGTTTTTTTATTTTCGTAATTTTCAACAAACTCAGCGAAATTCTTTGCAAAAAATTTGATTTATGTGCGGAAACTTGTGGGCAAAAAATAGTAAAGTCAAACTTTAGTAAGAAGAATTCAATCGTTCGTGCAGCAAATGTGCAACATTTGGTATTATTATTATTGTAGGTACCAGGAAGCGGCAAGTCGGCATAACAAAAGTTCCCCCACTTAGCCGCAGTTGGTGTTTCACAAATAAATGTCCAAAAAGTTTTCCACTGCCAATATTTTTATTATCTGAAGGCAACTGAAGGCAGCTGTACGATCAGGTGGAAAACATTTGTTACTTATACAATTTTGACAATATAAATAGAAATTAGAAAACTTTTTCTATCTCTTTGCGATAGAAATAAATAATAATAAATAAATAATAAAATCGTGAATATGAATTGATACAATAAAAATATAGAAAAACATAAAAGGTGACAAAATAAACTTCTCACAATATTAATAAAAATGTCTAGAGGAACTTATATTTCGCTTATATTATTAAATATAAAAAAATATATAATTTATAAACATTTTTTTATTAAATAAACATCAAAGCGAGTTGATATTACATTCAATGTAAAAGGATAATAAATCTGTTTAAATATATAACGAAACTCAAACTAAATTTATGCAGTTTCTTAAAAAAAACTTTACATATTCGAATTTATATGCAGATCGAAAAAAAACAGAACGAAATAAAAAAAGCGAAAAATCTGAAGAAAAATCTGCATATGTATAAAAGCGAGTGCATTTGATTGATGCATGCAACTCTCTGGCACACAGCAAATTTCTTTTGGGAACGTGATGCATTTTTGTGTTTATTTATACAAGAAAAATATTTCGCAATATACGTTCTTTGATTATGAAATACGTTGCTTTTTAAATTAAAATATGCTGACTGAACCATACAAGATTTATACAACATTACTCAAAGTACACAAAACAGTATTTAAATATTCAAAAAAATTCAAAAAAAAAATTAAATAATATAATGTGAAAAAATATTTACATATATGAACGCTTTAATATTATTTAAGTTATTTATTAAACAGTAAAAAACAAATTTTTTTTTAAAGAACTTAACTACATTTTCAACAGCATTTGAGGAACTTATACACAAAATTGTATGAAAATAGAAAAAAATTAAACCATTTACATATAGTCAAAATTATCACAATATGGTCATAATCATATCATAATATAGCCACCATTTCTGACGTGCGATATTTTAATAACGGATATTAATAAAATCGATAAAAACCGATGCACTGACCAACTTTACATATAGTTGCATATCGAACGCTACTATATGAGGTAATATATAAACTTCACAAATATCAAGCTTTAAAACTGCAAGTTTTAACATTAAAACTTGAAGTAGTAACGCCATCTAACATCGACCAGTATATGCAATATTTACATTTGATTATACAAGTGACGGTTTCTGATATTGCCCAAACCATGGCGAAAGCGTTCAATACTACAAAACTGAAAAGACAAAAGATTAATACACACAGTCAATCAAAAAGGCTCAATTCCATTACAATAAAATGGAATTCTTAATAACCAGTTAACTTAAATACAATAGACGAGGGTCTCGAAAATACACAAACGCTTTAAGTAAAAAATAGCCAATGAGAATTACATTATCTTTTCGAACAGTCTTGATAAAACGATTGCTACAAACTTATAGGACATAGTTATTCCATCATAACCTATTATTTGAGTGATAATATCGGTGTTTCTGAAATGATCTAGTTTCTTCTGTTGTTGCTCAAACTGTATACGTTTCTGTGGACCGCAATATTAATTTTGTTTGTTTATAATCCATTCCTAAAATTCTACTCTTTATGTGAGCATTGTTCTTACCAATGTCTTACAGAAACGTGTTTTTAAGGTTAGCACGGTATTCACTCATCTCTCCCTAATTTTTCTTGTGAGACGTCTATGGTACCTCTATCGAACTACACGAAACCTTTATATGCACTACTTGATACCTCTAAAATACAATTACTTATTTCTTAGCATAATAGTACTTTCCTAGCCAAAGGGTCACAATTTTTCTATGTAATCTATGATTTTCTCATTACACATATCCCCCCTCTCAGTACTATACTGTTGATCAATATCAAACTCAGGCAGTCACATAGAATGTAACCAGAATCTACTTTAAGGCAGATACATCATTCCGTTTTCTCAGATAGACTCATATTGTTCAGATAGCAGCGCAGACCATATGCTCGTTTTATCGTAGCGCCGAGACAATGTTCAGCCGGCGTTTAACCAAATATTTGCAGTACATAAAAGTCGAGAATTTTTAATACAAAATTTTTTAATATCATTTTTATTAAAACTTTTAAACAAGTTGAATTCATAAATTTAGTTTAAAATGCAGAAAATCAAAAAATTGTTTAAAATATCTACAATACTTGGTAATCAATTCGAAAGAAAACATTAAAATTGCCAAACAATTTAAAATTAAATATATAATATACAATCCAAGCAACATTCCATTATTAATTATAGGTTCAGACCAATCATCGTCATTTAAATACACATCATCCCAGTCAACGTATTTATTTTCAAGAAGACGTAGCACTCCACCATTTGAAAGTAATTTAATTTTTTTATCAATGGAAAATTTCAATATAGAATATTTTTGAAAATACATAACCAGAAAAAAATCATAAATATCTTCCTCAAAGAACGTCAGTTCACTTGAGTTCCAATGAATTCTATTATAATATGCCAAACTGTCTACAGGCGCAATAGTTAATACTTTTTCATAATAGGTATTCACCATATCAAACCGTTCAATAGCAGTCCCGTCAATGGGCACTGTAAGATTTCTTGGATAATACTCAACGTACGCTGGTGCAAAAAGTAGACATTGCTGTTCAATCAGCTCCTCTATGGCTTCCAACTGTTGTGCCATAATCGAAAAACGCAATACGTCGAACAGTTTGCCTTGATAAGAACTGCGCATCAATAAAGTCACAATCAACCACAGCATAACCAAAAAACGAGCGAAGTTACGTTTTGGAGGGACATCTAGGGAGAAGCCCAAAAAGACAATTACCATGTTCAACACTGGTCTTTGATTTCCATCGCCAAATATAAATATCTGTATCGTTTCGCTGCAATACACTCTGACAAAAATAATGAAAATAGTCCCTAAGATTAATGTCAACACTATGCAATACCATACATTGTTTTCAAAGGGATAAAGCAATTTTTTTATATGATCCTGACTCCAATACATTCTGATTACAAAAATTAGCTTGGTATCATAATATGTGTATGAAGAAGAGAAGAGGTAATAGTGCGTTAGCGCGCTACTGAAGCCACCAATAGCTATATCAACAGTATCATTTTCAAGCTGTAGGTACAATAACATATATTTATGATATTCTATTAAGGTCATCAAAGTATACGTACCAATGCGAAACAACCCGTTGAGTTGCTTTCGGTGCCAATTATGCCAAACTCCTCCGAAATTGTTAAACGCACTGAAAAATTTAATTTCTCTGCTAAAATCTTAAGCAGGTCACCTTCTATACCACTTAAGCGATTTAGATTTAACAAATCTATTTCCTTATTCTTATCACCTTTGATCTGTGTAAACGGCGGAGATTCATAAACACATACACGTAGTTCACATTTATAGAAATTCTGTAAACGTCGCGGGAACAAATAATTTCTCATTAGCACTCCATTTTCATATTTGTTGCTGTAGGACAACACAATGTCCTTCCAACATTCTGCACCAAATAGTTTATAGGTGTAAAAAACTATAGATCCGTCTAAGTCCTCGAACATGACAACTGTGTTGAGTACATTATCCATTTTATTCGACCAGAACATGGAATAAAGAGTGGCATTGCGTTCCTCAGTATCGGTGAATTTTTGGGTAAAAATATAAAGAAAATAAAATTCATAATCATACTCGAAGCTCGGAAAGCTGAAGCTAATGTTGCTAACAAGTAGTAAGAAAATATTTCAATTATTAATTAAATAAAAATAAATTCTTTTTGTATATAATTATATATATAGTATCACAACACTTTTAAAAATAAATAAAAATAAAACATTGACCACACAAAGACTGTAGACACTAATTAATATATGTAACAGAATTATACATAGAGATATATTCAAGAAGCTTACTAAAATGCATCTAACGAGTTTATAATAAATATATTATAATTCCAAGGTTGATCAATAAATGAATGCAAATATAATTTGATTTTAACAAGTCCATCTAAATTTTTCAAAAAATTATTCAAAAATTTTACTTCAAAGTCCCTTTGCTCTCTTTCGCTATCAAAGCAGTTGTGAAAAACAACTAAAGTATTTATTTTGGGGCTGATATATTGCTTTGTCACATATAAAGCAGCCTCTGACAATAATTCCTTGTCATCCCAATTCACTTCAATATTTGCTCCAACTAGTCCTGGTACTATAACTCCAATAAATATAAAAATATATACGCGGACCTTTAAATCCATGCCAGTCATTGAATCAATTTGAATAAACTGCACACAATTTCATTATGTTAACTGCGTTAGGCACAATAATTAATTCTTTTTATAATGTATCAAAACACAGTATCTAATACAAACAATATGGTTTAATCAAATTATTGTTTTTTTTTCATTTAACTAAAAGTGCACTTTTAATTACATTGGAACCAATTGTTGTTGTTGCTGTTAGTTACTCCCAATTGCGTTCACATAATTACCTCTCATTTTAAAATGAAAAAGTGAAAAGAACCTCTAACATGTGACTATTGTAATGTGAGTAATGGTTAATATCTAAACACAGAACTGAAATATACTCCAATCTATAAATATTAGCTATAGTTTATTTCATAATTAATTGTTTAATTAATATAAAAAAAATTAATTTAATTAATATTTTGTAAAAACGAAGTCACATACGGAAACGTCGAAGTATCACTTTGAATTAATAATAAAAAATTAAAAATTGCTATGTATATAAATAAAATAGTATGTATAAAAAAAAAAATAAAATTGTAAATGTTTTTCAATGACCACTGTTTGCCTTTGAAAAAGAGACCGTTCTATATAATATGAATATTAATATTATGCACAAATTCGCACTAGCCAAAAGAAGGAACCTCAGCATTTTTATCAACATCGGCTAAGAATATATCAATTAACCTAACTTTTAAGTCAAGAGTTCACCACCAACCCATCTAGTTGGGTATTTAGTTGCCTGGGAGAGTTGGTTTGCAGAAATAAATAACTAATATTAAGAGAAAAGACTCCAATATGAACGGCATCTATCCAATCGGTACTGACGTTTATAATAGAGGCTAAAGATGGTACTAGAAAAACGCATTAAATGCTCACAGTAACAGAAATATTAAATATATATATATATACATATACTAGCTATTTCATAATTTCATTTCCATTTTCTTTTCTTATTATTTTACTTTGTTGTTTGTTTTACTTTTCTTTATATGAGTTATAAGACTAGATAATGGGCGTCGTAATAACCTCATTTAAGTAGCTTTTAGTGTTACCATCAGTACTGGTAGCAGAAAAAAGCATATATAGATGGACTCGGCTCATTGGGGCATTTAAAACTCGACATGTGCTTTAATATTTTCTAATTATAATGATAGAAGAAGAATCTGACTTTTAACAGCAGTAGTTAGAGGCGTGTTTATTGGAATCTGACAAAATATATACAATTTTAATATATATTTTGGTTTTAATATTTTATTACTAATATTAACTAGAAATATTGATCCGTAATACCTTAAAAACACTGAAGATATTTATTATAACATTATATTATTATAACATAAAAAGAAATGCTAGAATAAATACTCCGAATGTATTATATTTAAATATGGATCTTGAAAATAACACCAATAAGAATATTACTTTGTGCTTATAATTATAGATGTGTGTATAAATTAAACTGCAGCTTAATCTTATTATAATTTAATTAGTGAACAGTTAAGAAACCTCAACAAAAAAACGTCCTACCTATGCCATTGCTTAACAGCATATACGACAACATTTTTCCTCGCCATTCACATGTACCGTAAACCATTATCCCTCATGTTATCTCTTTCGAGCACAAGAGTCCTCTCCTTGACGCAACCCTACCTACGTCACTGCTTAACAGCATGCACATCTCGCCATTCGTTTGTACTATGAGCTGTTATTATAATATATTATAATTATTATACATATTTATTTCATGTGATTATGTGATGACTACATATAATTCTACATAACCTCTAATTTTATACCTACAAAATAAACCCATAGCTAAATAACTGCTGCCTACTGGGCAGGATATAATCACATTTTTAATATATTAAACTTAAGTGAAAATATTAAAAATAATCTAATTACTTCATTCGTTAAACATTCGTTAACACATAAATCAAAATAATGCAAAATAAAAAAATTTAATAACAAAGAAGAAGAAGGACTTCGTTTGTTTGTGAATATTAATGTTGACATAAGATATAAATATGTCCTGTCCTGGTAAATATAAATAGCATATTGCATTATTATAATGAAATTCCGTACTTGAATATGGAAGACGTATAGAAAATTTTATTCCTCTGTTAAGAATAAAAATAGAAAATTAAATCAAAAAACTAAGAAAAAAGATTATTACTCAGAAAAATAAAAAAAAGGCTTGTAGTTTTTAGTATTATTGTTGTTGTTGTTATTGTTATTGTTGCTTTAGTGCTGTGATGGTATTTGTATGCAACTTTCCGTTTCTCAGCGAAACTTCATAACTTAATTTTTCTTCTCAAGTCTTTTAAGGCATAAAAAAAAGTCTATAATTTCTTACATAAAATAAGTGCATAAGATACGAGTATGTGTATGTGTGTGTATGTGCTCATGAGTGTCTTGCTTTAGTAAACAGTGTAAGCATGGTTGTGTTGGTATGTAAATAATACATGTACTGAATTTTAAAAATCCTTTTCCAATGTTCTTTGCTTAAATTTTTTTTATTATAATTTTGCTGCTAACTTCATTGCTTGTTTATTGAATGTGACTTTGTTCAACGGCAACTAACAACAACAACATTAACACAGAATATGTACAACAATAATTGAAATTATAGCAACTACACAAACAATAACACATGCATACACGTTGTAAACTGCAAATATTGACTGAACACACTCACTCACACACATACACACATACACTCGTACAATGTTTTGCTGCTTGCTATTTTCTGTTTCCCACTTGATGGTTGGATGCGGCTCGGTGCAACGCAGTACTGCTTGGTGTTTGGTTCACGAATTCCATTACAAAATCATTATTTTTCATGTTATTTACCAATTGAATTGTTTACGTGTGTGTGTGTAGGTTAGTATATGTGTGGCACTGGCACTGCCAGTGGCGAATTTTTCAAAATAGCAAATAAAGCAAGAAACGAGCGAAATAGTAATTATCATTAAAGTCGATTTTGAACGCATTCGGGTTTTTTAATTCACAAATTGAAATTTTATTGAACTGATTTGTTGTTTCTATTAATAGAAATAAATTAAAGAAATTACAACGAAATGTGTGCTACATGTTATAATATAAAAAACAAAAAATTTATTTTTAAATATATAATAAATTTTAACATAACCTAAAAGTGAAAAATACACTTTTGATATGAAAATTTGCTATTTAAAGTCTTAGGTATATCATAGTACATATATTCCTTGTCTTACTACATTTGGGAAGTACCAAGTGACCAAGGCACTCGGTGCTATAAAATGCCGACAGCATATTTATTTTAAATATATTATAAATTTCAACATAACCTAAAAGTGAAAAATATACTTTTGATATAAAAATTTGCTATTAGAAGAATTTTATCATACTACATATATTCCTTGTCTTATTACATTTGGGAAGAACCAGGTGACCAACGGTATGTAGGCACTCATCATCATCCGTGACTATACAGTCCATGTAGGACCTAAACAGTCTTCCATTCTTCTCTGTTTTTTGCTTTTCTTTTGCAATGTCTTATATTCATTTCTTCTAACTCCTGCTGCACACTGTTTTTCCATCGTTTTCTTGGTCGCCCTTCTCTTCTGGTGATTCCTACTTAGTTCGTATGTAGGCAGTCGGTACTACAAAGTGTCAACAGCAAGCGAAGAGTACTGGATGCGACCAAGAATGACGCCCATCTGCAATGGCCAACTAAATAATTTAGTAAGTACTGTATTTAAGATTGTAATTCTTACTACACCTTTTTCGCGCATATTAGTTTTCTATTTATATAAGCGGCAACACTAAACAGAAGCGGCAACCCAGAAAATCGTCAGAGTGTGAAGAAGTGTGAGCGTATCACGTGTAGAGGAAGATTGCGTTACGAAGAGTCAGAATGGTTTCATCTAAATTTACGTTTGAAATTGAAAAGCCAACACAACTTTAATACCTTAATTTATACGCTTTGAATACACTTTAATTAACAAAAAATATTAACAATCTTACCTTTATATTCCCACTTCTTTTACAAAATTAATTCTAATTTGCTTCTTCACTTTATTCTTACTATTTATTTACTATTACTATTACTTATATACTCACTTTGTCATATTAAAATCTTTAAGTTTTTAAAAGCATTCTTACACATTTTTCCTATTCACACACATAAACATATAAACGTGTAAATCACATTTGAATTTCTCCACTTCGCACACGTGACGTATGAGTAACGTGAAATTGCCTTCAGTCTCTTTGCTTCGTAAATATTTTCTCATTTCCCACCACAATTAAATCAAATATTTTCGCAACTAATAAGCATACAATTATACTTCGTAACTGCATTATTCAGAA